TCATATTAGCGATGTTCGTAACGACCCATAAAAATCTAAGCTTGGTGTGAGTAGGCAAATGCAAGAGCGAATTTACAAAACTGGATAGCGTATGAAGGAATACTTATCTTAAAATGAGATAATGTAAAATGAGGGAGCAAATGCTACGAGCAATAAATCTTGTTTCATAATTGTACATTTTTCCACAAAAACCTAAATTAGATGTGACCGGAACCAAAGCACCCATCAACCTGAGTTTCTATGAGCCAAAGGGGAGTGCACCCTTCGAAATCAGGTAAGAAAAATGGAGACAATTAAAGACAAAAGTTGTAAGAAAAGATTTATGACCAAAGTGATCTCAAAATTACGATTGGTAAAAACAGACTCAGTAGGCAATGGAAGCAAAATGTGATGTTATTGTAGTAAAAACAACCACAAAGTTGTCAGATGTAGAGCATGAGAAAATATATCAATTCATGAAAGGGCGCCAGGTGAAATAATTTTGAGATCAATCAAAAACTAAAAAACGGATCTAAGTGATAATACGATGACATACTCGCAAGCAGACAGACAAATATATATATATATAATAATTAAAGAAGGAGCGATTAGATATAGAATGAATTCAAAGATAGTTCAACTAAACAAATCTTGATAAAAGAGCCGCTCAAGGTATTTAATCGGAGACAAAAGAAACCCTGATCGAGAATAATCGAATATAACATGAAAATTAATATATTATCCTCAGGTATAGATTTAAAAATTGGAAAAAATTCAACGAAAGCACTAGACGAGAAGATAAGTGCAAGTAAAATAAAGTTATTTGATAAAGGTCATAATTAAATGGAAATGTAAAAGAGAGCCGATGAGTATAAGATGGTGAGCGAAATCCAAGCCCCAATGTCCCCTTCATTGCTTGATGAAAGCATAATCAAAGGAGAAACGAAAATGAAAAAAGGGGTTTATGCATTTAGTGGATGGAAGCGGTCATCAGCTCAACGATGAGAGATTACATACAGTCGTGCAACCGTCACAACTAAACAAGCAAATAGATGTAGGCGCAAAGATGGGCGCAGAACAAAAGGCAGCTAAGCTCGACTAGAACGAAGGAGTCGTGCCCGAGAATCATCATGGTCGGTAGTCCAGACATCATCCTCGCCATCTGGCTGACAGCTATCAGTCAACCCAGTCCCCTCTAAGTGGGGGGTTTCTAGTCGGCCTGCTGAGCGAGCAGAGGAAGGACGCTTTTCTTTAACCTTCGAGCTGTGCTGGTTGACGCGGGTCACACCTTCGAGATCATTGGACTGAGACCAACTAACATATAAATCACAAATATGGAAAAAAGAAAAACAACCCTCGAACGATTAGGATCCTCGGAAAAAATATATAAACTTACAAAAGAAATGTAAAGGTAAAAAATTAGTATTTTATACACGAATCAAAATATATCTGAAGATAAATGTGCCATGGTATATTCTAAATTACCTCGTTTCCTTTATGTTCGTGTTTAGTATAGTAATCGAAAGAAACAAATTTTAAGTGCAAGAAGTACGCAAAACAAGCTTGCATTATGATCGATAGCTGGACATGAAGCCTGTCATGCCCAATTAATAAGGTTTGGACTAAAACAACAGCTCTTACTCATGGCCTTG